AACTTCATATATTATGCCACATATTTGTATTGTGATAATATATTTTAAAACAATAAATTATCAGTTTTAAAAATCAATACCTAGGTACTAAAATAATATAATTTGTTAGAATTTAATTAATATTTTTTTGCAGTTTCTCCTTATATTTTGGGAATATGTATGTGTTGCTCTGTTAGTAGGTATTTATTTTCTCTATAGTTATAGTAGATAGCAGTGACATCATTTGAAGGGAAGCAAGATGGGCATAATGAAATGTACCGATGTGCCGAATGTACGAATGGACCGGTGATTGGTTTCTTCTATTTAATCATTATTAATTATTATATTGTATTAACGCAATACATTCCTATTTTTATAATATTTAAGAATATGTTATAAATTATAATATATTGTCTTCTAAGAAATTATTGTCACAATGATAAATTACAAATCAATAGTCAGAATATATTTATATTTAGACGCATGAGGGGAACGTGCATGAAAGTTGTTATGTATGTGTATATTTTATGAATAATAAGGAACATAATATTATGTGCTTGAGAGAGAAGCAAGTGGTTTTTTTTTAAGTTACTTATTAAGACTGCCCTTCTATTGAAAACTTAAATGATGCCACTGGTAAATAGATCTGCTATGTATTTGCAACGTTTAGAGCATCCATGTTTCTATAGAAATAGCCCAAAATTGTGTTAAAAAAAAATATTTATAATAGAAAAACCATTATAAAATCAATAAATTTATAACTACTCAAAACCTGAAAGTTGGAAAGTAATAAAATGTTAATTTTTAAGAAAGTGTCTAAAGAGTAAAGCGATCATCATTAAAATTATATTTTGATTCAACACTTTTAAGCTAGCTTCTAAAAAAAAAAACATCTCAAAACTAGATATTGTAGTTATATAGATATTATATTTTGTTTACTCATATTAGCATTCCCCTCAGTGGCTCCATAAAATTCTGCCACTTGCTTTATATTAAACCGTGTAGTGAAATCGGTCCATATCTGAGGTCGAAGACCATTTCCTAAAATCAATCTGACCTGATGACTCTTGTCAGCATCAGATGGAGGTGAAGCCAAACAATAACGACACATTTCTCCAATATATTGTGCAACCTTAAATATAATAATGAATTAAAATATATATATACCTGGGTAATAATATTTAATGGTAAATATTAAAATTATAATATATTAGAAATGTGGTTAGGTGATGCAAATGGTGTTCAATTTAAGTGTACCTACACTCATTGTTTTCGTTAAGTTTCAACTTTACTTAATTGAAAATATTATTACATTTACATGATTTGATATCATTCCAAAAAAAAATTTTTACTATAAATCGGCTATTTCAGTCACACGTGACGTTTGCGACACAAGATTGAAATTGCCTTCCCAGCTCCAACACCAGCCAAGCATACACTTTTTTAATACACCTCTATCTATTTCATGGTAAATGGTAATCCATAATTACTGTTCTTGCAGTTCTTGGTATCTAAATTCTCCAAGCGGTTTCAGAGATCCAATATGTAGTAATTGGGAGGGAGGTCCGGAGTCCAGATTATCCCTATCGAATTTTTTTAAAGTAGTTTAAACTTCACTATAACATGATTATATAACGACACCTCAGGGTTATTGCCATATGCTCATATTGTTGTTATAATATTATGTAAATTATACATAATATTATGTAATTACAATAAATAAAATTGTGTAATTACAATAAATAAAATTATTTATTTAAAGCATTAATTAGTGGTTTCGATCTATTCAGTATTGAGTAGGTACCTATCAAATAGTGTATGCCCGTCCGAACTCTCCCATAATATAGGTACCTATCTGATATTATAATTAAATAGGTACCTATTACTGTCTTAAATTACTTACGTCTTTGATCATATAGGTAATTAAGATCTAGCTATTTGCATTTACAAAAATAACGTTGCGACTACAATAATAAGAACAAGGGCGTTGGCCAAATTCTTGGACCTCTGGTCCCCCATTTATAAGGGAGTCTGCAGGACTGCAGCACAGAATTTTCAGACGTATATCATGATAATCCATAATCCATAACCGTTGAGTTCTGAGCACCTTCACGGCGTCACGTCACACAACTTATACATTATACAATTACATTAATTATAACTTGTGTTTGTCCTCTAAAGTTAATTATAACACTTCACCATACAATAAATTAATATCTGGTTGGTTCAACTGGATCATTGGATCACTGGCAGAGCCGCACGTAACAGGAGTGACACACATATCAGATAAGTTTATGTATAGGGAAATAGGGTAATATTAATCTGATTTGGTCAGTAACTTTTGTCACGTAGGTAGTGGGGCATTTTCACTTTTCCGCCCACTACACCCTCGCCGGGCGGGAAATGGGTCATATTCCAACGCTTCAACCGTCATCAAAAATTGAATTTTTGACGTCGGAGTGACAAAAAAATATTACATTTATTTTTGTATACCTACCTAGTTATTTTTTAGAAGTCTTTTACTTGTTTGTATGACAACATACATTTTTTATTTCATATTCCGAAGAATAACGTTGATACCTACATAAACATTAAATTTAGTAAGGTTAGGTCATGACTACCACTGGTGGCGCAAAGGGGTGGAGCAGGGTGGCTGAAACCACTTAAAAAAGTCTAGAGACCCCCGGGACCTATATGGTTCAGCCTAAAATTTAAATTGATTTAGTTAGGATATATTCAAATTTGAGATAGAAATGATCTATAATGACTTATAAATTATAAGAATACAAAAATATTATAACATGTAATGTGCAGGTAGGTATTTAATTATTGTTATGTATATAAAAACTGTTTTAAACGGGTTGAAAAGTGTGTAGTCGAGACTCATAAATAGACGCGTTTTAACCAGCATCTAAATGTGACAGAAAATAAAACTATACATGAACTATTTCAACTACAATACCTGTTATTGATATCTCATAATGTATAAATACGATATTAACCATATTTTAAAATCTGTAAATCAATAGGCAGTCCAAAACCCAACCACTCATCCTATTGGGTACACCCCAGGGCCCAGGTTCAGACTTCGGAGAAAATAGATGATTTGAGATATATAGTTAGTGTTTTTATTATGGCCAGGAATTGACATATTGAAATAGATTTACGAAATAGCTTTGAAACCAATTTTGTAGTCAGATTAAATATTAGAGTAGGGAATTGACCTATACAATCAAAATAATCAAACTTAAAAGTAGAAAATAACAACATTATCTATGCGTTTTTTATGATATTTTGATGTATACCAAACTCCCTTAACTCTTATGCCGTTTGGCTACAAAGTAACATCTAACAATGTGCGTAATTCATCAATTCATATACCTGCCACTCTTAGGTAAGTGAAGGTAGTAAGCTGAGGTAATTCAAAACAATAGAAATTTATTAGAATAATCTACTTTGATCCATTATTTGAAAAAAGTCAATTAATACTAAAAATATCTACTATTTATAGATAAAGTGTATTTTTCTGTGCGCCTAGAACTCTAGACCAGAGTCTTACTTATGGGAGGCCTAGACGCCTGCAGCCCCAGGCCCCGGCGTATTATTAGGGGCCCCTATTATTACTGTAATACAGTGATATACGTTTTATTTATACCAATCAACATTACTTAGAGACTTAAAGTATAATTTATTTATAATCTTAAAAATAAATTTAATTAAAAAAAAAAAAATCCCTAGCAATAAAAACTGAGGTTATAATATAGGTTGATGTGCTTCACCAAAATTAACCTCGGGTCCCGAAATTTCGAAGTAGCGCTCTGGTCTTGGCTTATCCAGGTACTTAGCTAGTAGCTACGCAAAGTATGTCCAAATGCGCTTAATAAAATGTACTTATACGGCTATAAAGCATACAAGCATTGCTTGTCCTAAAATTAATTAACTACTCGTTTGAAATTTGATTTCTATAAATCGAAATACTCGCAGAAACATTGGAATATGAAATTGAAAATGCATGTCGACATTAAAAAAGTAAAAGCTTAAGATATAATGAAGATAAAAAATAAAAAATATTTTTCTAATGTTCGCAAATAGCAAATGACATCAATTTACGTGAAAATAATAATTTCAAAATAAGTTATTATTTTTGAAATAACGAGTGTTAGCGAACGGATCATTGGCTCATTATTTATACTTACGGTACATTCATATTTTAGGCAATCAGTCCAATAGTTAGATGCTGAAAACTTGGACCTTATAACACACGTCGAACCTCCCAAAAGGACAGAGCTAACGCCCAAGATACCGCCAGCGGTATGATACAATGGTAACGGAGTATACACAACGTCATGTTCAGTTATTCCAGCTATGTGTTTAGCACCCATCGCCATATAAATAGCTCTAATAAAGTTTGGTAAAAATTAGATATTTTTAAAGGAAATAATGGTAATATTATACAAATATTTAACTAAATAAAATACAGGTAGGTTCTAGGTCGTTAATCGCTTATAGCATTGAATTATAATAAATTTGTTTTGATGTTAATGGTACCTACCTCGATTGCGTCATAATAGCAGCCTTTGGCATACCGGTTGTGCCTGATGTATAAATATATAGCATTTGATCTTTTGAACTACCTTCAGAAATATCTTTGACAGGAGCACTTTTTGATATTTCTTTTAGTTCACAATCAAGATTGATAGCATTAGTTATTGATGTAGTGTTAGTCAATGAAGTGGTGTCATCGATGTAATTTTTTATATACACAGCCGATTTTGTGAACAGATCTTTCAATTTATCATCAGTAGTTGTGTTGATAATTTCCACCAATGCTGAAAAAATAATGACAATTAATTATCAATATATTTCTTTCGACGTAGGTAGACGCTTAGATTTGTTATACCATTTAATAAGTTTCTTATGGCGATACCTACCAACTTATTTTTTCAAATGAAAACTAACCTTTTTTACAGTAAATAATAAATATTAAGCTGATTTTGTACTAAAAAATACAAACAATTGAAAATATGGTCCTGAAGTAGGTAAATTTAAAAATTCCAATACCAAATTATAATTTGAATAAATACATTAGGTACCTACTGAAGGAAAAATGGAAGTGAGTGCTTAGTACATCATACCGGATAAATAATATTATATAGATAGTATAGCCATTATAGGTATATAAATATTTATGAAAATTTATATTTGTTTCAAGCCATATGTCAATATGGGTAGATACCGATATCAACTTAGTAGAAAGGTTGTATGAGAAATGTTCACACAAAATAATAATAAGAAAATATGATGACTACAGTCCTCCCCCCAAAAAAAATTTGGTCCTAGTTAAAATATATAAGGTCGTTATAATATTATAATACAAATACATTATTAATTTTGTCTATGGTTGAATATCGAGTATCAGACAACTCAACAACTGACAAATAGACAATTCTTCGAGTAGGTACCAAGTTTGACATTTGATACAGAAGGTACTGGAGTTGAAGACGGACAACAAGTAACAACATGTTGACCTTGACAGTTGACGTCTCGAACAACTACTTTAGTTGAATCTGATTTTAGTTTTTTCGATTTGTTTTATCAGTTTTATAACTATTTTTTCTTATCAAAAATGAAATATAAATGATAAGGAATTGCCGCCATTATTATATTTTGATATCACGTATTCACAAATTAACGCGTGTGGTTTGATAGTAAATAGTAAAATAGTAAATACTAATAATGAATAATGATAGTTAGATAGTGCAAGTGCAATGACTGACAAGCACAAGATGTGTCCGTACAATGAACACTGGACTGAGTAGTGAGTACTGATTTGTTAACGTACTGTGCATGCTATTTTATTCTGTGTTAATTATTATATTCACTATCCAAAAAATAGTAGTATTAGAAGCATCCATTAAGGATAGTATAAACTGTTTAATTGCAATTAAGAAGTTTCATTGTATACCAGATACTTATATTTAAAATGTAATTTATGATTTAAATTTATAATTCTCTTGATAAACAGACGTATTAGTCTCAGTATTTTTAATTTCTTACTCTCATGTGTTTATTGTCAACACAAAATATAGTAAATTATGATAATATCTCCTTACCATTAACTTGTTCCTTGCCGATTATGACTGCTGAACAATTTGATACTTTTATGGAATGTGCCAATGTGTCAGCACGTAGATTATTATTAATTAAAGCTACTACAACGCCAATTTTAGATAAACCAAGCCAAATACATACATATTCTGGACAACTTTCCATAAACAAAGCAACAACATCACCTCGTTTAAACCCTTGCTCTTTGAAATAATTGGCAATTTGGTTGCTGAGCTCTTCTACCTAAAACAATTGTAAGTACCTATCTATACTATACTTAATAAGTATATCATATGTATGTTATAGTTGTATTAAATATATTTAATGCATTACTATTTTATATGAATTGTTAATAAGTAATAACCATACATTTTATACATATAAAAATAATTGTATATTTTTCAAACATTTTTCATTTAATATTAAAAAAGTTACTAAGTAATTAATAAATGGTAAACTTTAACTTATAAATACATTTAAATGCACATAAGCTTCACCAACAATAATTTTAGTACTTTAAGACATTTTTATCATTATAGAAAAAAGTTCACTTATGTAATCTGAAGTAGGTAGTTGATAGTATAAAGGACAATTTTTGGGAAATTTAAGTCATCAAGTATTATTGGGAAAATCATATTATAACTTTTAAATATGGCGTACTATAGTACAGTGGTTCCCAACCCATGGGCCGCGGCCCACTTGTGGGCCTCGAGCATTGTGGTACTGGGCCATGAACCATATATAAATATAATATAATATTTAATATTATATATATATTTTTAATAATATTACATATTTTTAGTTTATACCTAATAATATTTATCATTATTATCTACACTCTGTAGTGTCAAATTATTAATTAACGCTAAATATAGGAATTAACTGAATGTTTAAAGTGATTTAATTGTAAAACCATCCAATTTTCATCCCGATGTTGACTCTCTCATGAAGGACAAGTAATGTCAAAAATCACATTAAATTGTTCAATTTGTGATTAAGTTTAATAATGTGTTTTTCATAATAAACAATTGATTTTTTAATTCTTTTGAATTCTAACAACTGAAGTTTGTATATTATATTTATATATTTATGCATTCGTATATAGGTGAGCTGTTTGAGGGCCTCAAAGATTTTTTTTACAAAATTGGTGGTTCGCACAGTTAAAAAGGTTGGGAACCGCTGCTATAGTACATTATATTTTTTTAAGGTCGTTAAAATAATAAAAAAATATGTTCTGTGTGTAAGCCAAAATATAAATAATATATCACAATAATTTATTAAAATTAAATAGGATATTAATTTTATTTACAGTTAATAGTTAATACCTACTACCTATAAACAAATAGTAAAAATTATATATTTAAAATGTATAATATATTATCATAATATTCATATAAATAATTTTTTTTAATAGATTGGGTTTAGTATGAAATTAATTTAAATTAGTCTTAATTATATCACTGAACTAATGAAAATATTAAATTTCATAATACAACCAATTAGCTTTATTGTGAGTATAGTTTCAATGGGTTTAATATTTAGTTCCATCACATAATATGTTATTAGAAGTACACATATGACATATTATAATGTATTTATAAATAGTTAGGTATTCATTATAATTTATAAACTTCCATTTTGTATTCATAGTAATATTTACTTCTATATATCTCCATGCAGAACCTTCATGCTTAAATGCTATTTTATTTGGATGTTTTTCAACAAATCTTTTAAAAATCTTAGCATATGTGTTGCATCCCAATAATTTCCATATCCTTATTTTGATAAAATATATTGAATAGTCTTTGATTAATCTGAAATAAAAATAAAAACAAAATATAATATTTGTATACATTATTTCCTTTATATTTACTATGTAATATTGTTTCCTAATTCATAATTTATTACCAATTAAAATTAAAAAATTAAGTTCTGTCTTCTTCATATTAAGTTCTATCTGTCAGTAAATGAGACTGAATTAGAGGTTGGCTAGGTGTAGCCTACCTATATTCCTATTTAACATTATTTTTGGACAGGTGTTCTCTTATGAATTTTGGTATTTCAACTTCAAAGTACCAGTTTATTTAAAGTTTTAGTTATTTCTGAACCAAACCAACCGTCACACATCAACTAGCTGTTGGCTACATAATAGTTTATTTTTATTTTCAAGAAACAATTGTTGAAGTAGAGTGGGTAATCTTTTGGTTTTCTATTGACATGTTTATACCCATTTTATTCAGTTACCTAGTATTTTGGAGAAGTATCATGTCTAGTTTCCCATTCCCAAAGCATAAAGAAAAATTAACGTTGAATTTCAAAAAACTACATTTAAATTTTAAATATATAAGTACTTAGTACATACATGGTTACACAATAGCAGTAATAATATGCATTAAACCAAGCTCTGCTTATTTAGGTTTTTTGAATTCAGCAATTGATTATGGAATTCAAAATATAATATTATAGATACCTAATTATCATAATTAATAATCAACATCAATTAACAAACGCTTTATATAACTGACCATTGTTCTGCACAGATCTGAAGTTGGCCATATAATCTAACGACCACCTGCTAATAGGAATTTCAGCTCTAAAATATTCAAATCTTAATAAGGCGTGATCTATGATCTATGTAAAGTGGTTTTTACTTTGTTGGGTATTTGACTTTGTGAGTTACTAAGTCACTAACGCAGGTGACATCTAATGAGTTCTTATTCTTTTGGTTTTAATTTTGTCAATATTATATTGATTTAAACAGAGTTAGGTGAGGTTCTTAATTTCCAGCAATTTTATATCACATTCACACAACTCAAGTAGGTAGTTTATTTTGATGTGTACAATCATATTAAATATTTACATATTATTAAATGTTACATAAATATAACTAGGTATTCATAAATTATACATAAAATAATAAATTAAAAATTATAATATACCTAGACGTATAGTGTAGTAGTGTACACTGTACCAATAAATCTATCATATTAAATTATAATAAGGCATTAAGGCGTTTGATAGTAGTTTTCAGTACATATATTATTGATAAACAATCAAATCACTCTGTATAATTCACAGGTCACAGCCGTACGAATATCGTCCTTGATTGTTAAATAGACACATCATAACAAAAAAAGGTAGCTAGTCTAATAATTGAACGGTCCCTACAACGTGGTTTATCAAGTTTAATAATATAAGTATATTATGTAACAGAATCCCCCGCTATGGTGTAAAAATATAATTTTATTATTCTGATACATCTTATAGGTATCCTAAAAATTGATAAAATATAATAGCTCTTATGATATTATACAATTATTATTTAACACAATATTATATGCTTTGTACAAGATATTATATAAATACATTGTAACGATACAATTATAGAATTTACCAACTGTTCAAAAACGTAGACATTTTTGTAGTATGGTTTATAGTTAGAACTTAGAATGCTTAGGAATTCATGAATAATTTGATTAATACTATCGAAATAATTTATTAAGATATACATCGCTAAGAAATGCACATTGTTTAGTCACCGTATATTTTTCATGATAAACTTAAAATCCCTAAAATATTATTCAAAATCTGAATCTGAATATTAAAGGGGTAACCAAAAATACGGTTATCGTGCACACTCTCAAACTTAACATTGTTATAGATCGGCCAAGATATCGAAATAAATGTCAAATATACATTTCCCGCTTGGCATAGAATCTATAATATACAATTTGGTTTATCGCGCCGATACTGATTTTAATTTTTTTTTTCTAACCTAGTGTTAATCCAATTACTAAAAACTATGTATATTAAATATCGAATTTTAATTAGGTGGATTTGCCTAAATGGCTAAAGGTCGTAATGAGTTATGAATGCCACTGAAATACCGATACTGATAACACTGCAGCAGTCTACAATAATTAATGTGTTCTCACTTATCATGTATACCGAGTTTATTACCGGTTGATTAATTAAGGTCGTTTTAAACCATATTTAAAAAAAATATTTTTTCACTATTATTTTTGAAACTACTTACCTTTTTGTAACGACAACTTGCATTTTAATATTTTTAATAACCATTGCCTATTTAAAAGTAGAATATTTGTTGGGGCACTTCAGTTTATAAAAATCGAATTTCAGATGAGTAAGTTCTAAGTGCTAAGTTATAACTTCTAAGTAATTAAGAACAAAATGAACAAAGTGGAATTGTGCACAGGAGTACCTCGCAATATGTTGATCCATCGCCCATGGACTACTCCGCCCATCATAACTTTAAATATTTATAAATGTATAACTAATAAACTACTTGTTATAAATTTGATTTTTATAAATCGAAGTATTATGAATAATATTCTGCTCCGGAATATGGAATTAAAAATTATATTGTCATTTTTTAATAGATTATAAACCCAAAAAATACAATTTTTTTTCAAAAATAGTGTTTTGTAACGACTTAAAATTATGTAAGTAATAGAAGTATTATCAAAATCGTTAGTGTTTTCTTAAAATAATGAATATCTTACGTTAAATGGATTATCCCGTATAAAACTAATCAAAATGTATCAATTTTTTTTTGCGGAAAAGTATAGTCTATTTGAAAACAATCGTTAGTTATTTTGATAATTACATAATATTTAAAAATATAAATATAAATTTGAATACAAATCGTTTAATAGTTTCCAGTTTGTAGAGATGCCATATCAAGTTTAT